TGCCCAGCTATTTTTTAGACACAGGGGTCTCGCTCTGGCTTAGGCTGGTCTCAAACCTGTGAACTCAGATAATTCACCCACCTCAGCCTCAGAGTGCTAGGATTGCAGCTGCCACCACGCCTGGCCCTATTTTAACCATTTTTAAGTTCAAAAGCACTAAGTAAATTGACATTGCTGTGCAGCTAGTGTGACCATCTTGTTCTAGAACTTCTTCATCTTCCCAAATGGAAATCCTATACCCATCAAACAATAAACTCTCATGCCTCCTCCCACCCCTGACAACCACCTTACCCATTTTTATGAGTTACTTCATGTAAGTAAGAACTTTTTTTTTCTTTTTGTGATTGGCTTAATCTCCATCCTTCAGATTCATCCATGTAACATGTTATCTTAATCTTCCTTTTAAGGGCTGGATAATATTCTATTGTGTTTATATATACCACATTCTGTTTATCCGTTCATCTCTCACTGGGGTTGCTTCCATCTTCTGGCTAACGTTAATAATGTTGCTGTGAACATGACTGTATAAATATGTGTTTTTCACTTCCTTTGGGTACACACTCAGAACTGTTGGATTTTATCATAATTTTAACTTTTGAGGTATTTCCATACTCAAGATTTCCTTATTTCTCAAGTGTGTGGGATCTATGTGTGGCTTTGCAGGGAAGGGAGAGGATGAATCTTTGTTGTTCCCATTACATCCTTAAGACTGTAGGTGCCATGGTAGAAGCATATGGTTTGATGAGAATTCACAGGAGGGACATATGTTTTAAAGGATACAGTATTTTCCCAGGCAGGAAACCATCTGACTTTTCTGTTCCTATTCTAAAAATTATAAAATGAGGAAAATGTATTTATCTTCTTGATAGTATGGTCAACATAAATATATAATATTTCAAAAATCTGTAAGTTTTTCAAAACAGGATTGTCAAAAATTTATAACTGCATAATTGGAAATGCATTAAAAATTATATAAAATTCCTTTCAGATTCTGTATTTTAAAAAATGACTTCATTCTACAGTGTTAACATGGTTTATTTCTTTACTATATTCTTTGTATTTGAGGTTATTTTTATCAACATACATAATCAGAGTGAAGAGATGCAATGATAAACTCACCTCATCTGCTAAATGTATATAAAAGTTTAGAAATACAGGTAAGTCACTTTCAAAATCACTTTTTTTTATCGAGGACTTGAATAATCAAGAAATGAAATAAATTACTATGCTGACCATAAAGTCCAGATATATTTTTACTATTTTTCTAATTATGAAATATTTCAGATTTAAGAGTTATCAAGACTAATAAAAACTACTATGAGTCCAAATCTGACTCAAGAGCTAAAACATCTGGAATGCTCTCACCTAACAGGCACAATAGGGGTATATGACACACCTCCTGGGTGAGAGGCAGACCTACAACTTGGACTCTGCCTAACAAATGCAAACAATATGACTTAATCATCTGTACCTTCATATTAATCTGAAATAAAAAGAGAAGTTATTCAAAGTATCTCTCTTCCTTGTTAAAAAACATAACAAAATTTCCAAAGAACATATAGCTATAGAATGAATACAGTAATTACAGTTTCAACTTTTCTTTTTTTTAAGAGAACAGTCCCATTTTATCACCCTTGGTATAGTGCGTCACAGCCTCCCAAGTAGCTGGGACTACAGGTGCCTGCCAGAACGCCTAGCTATTTTTTTTTGTTGCAGTTTGGCTGGGGCAGGGTTCCAACCCACCACTCTTGGTATATGGGGCCAGTGCTCTACTTACTGAGCCACAGG